TAGGTTGGAGGCCATCGCTAGTAGGTTGGAGGCCATCCCTAGTAGGTTGGAGGCCGTCGCTACTAGGGTGAAGGCCATTTCTATTAGGTTGGAGGCCATCGCTGTTAGGTTGTAGATCATCGCTATTAGGTTGGAGGTCATCGGTATTAGGTTGAGGCCATCGCTATTAGGTTGAAGGCCATCGCTATTAGGTTGGAGGCCATTGCTATTAGGATTGAGGCCATCACTATTAGGCTTGAGGCCATCACTATTAGGTTGGAGGCCATCGCTCGTAGGTTCGAGGCCATTGCTATTAGGTTGGAGGCCATTGCTATTAGGCTGGAGGCCATCGCTTTTAGGTTGCAGGCTCGCTAGTAGGTTGGAGGCCACTGCTATAGTAGGTTGGAGGCCATCACAATCAGGTTTTAAGCCATTGCTCTCAGGTTGGAGGCCATCGCAATTAGGTTGGAGGCCATCGCTATTAGGTTGAGGTCATTGCTATTAGGCTGGAGGCCGTCGCCCTTAGGTCGCAGGCCATCGCTAGTAGGTTGGAGGCCTTTGCTATTAGGTTTTAAGTCACTGCTACTGTAGTGGGTTGGAGGCCATCACAATTAGGTTTTAAGCCATTGCTCTTAGGTTGGAGGCCATCGCTCTTAGGTTTGAGGCCATCGCTATTAGGTTGGAGGCCATCGCTAGTAGGTCGGAGGCCATCGCTAGTAGGTTGGAGGCCATCGCTATTAGGTTCCATTGCTATTTAGTTGGAGGTCTTTGCTTCTATAGGAGGGACCATGAATCACATTGACACTCATTGACACGAGCTTTGAAGGTAGCCGGGTCGAACTCCCAGTTTTTGCGATCTTGGAGGGGGGCATCCTTGCGACCTTGGAGGTCAATCGCCATCGCCGCATGATAAACAAGTATAGGTATATATATATATATATGTGTATACCCTTGTGACAGGTGCCCCATGGCACGGCTGGGCCTTCAGGCGAGGGGCTTCCGGAGGTTGAGATTCGAAGGTTTTAAGTACCTCAAAGAAAGCGGATAAGGGAGACTGTTGATCAAACACATCCTCCATGTGTTAACCAATTAACAGTATACTTTTTGAGTACCGGTGCTATCGCTGCTGATGCTCGGATGTGCTGTGTAGTGAATGCTGTGGAGTTCAATGATGCAAATGTGCGAGTGAATGCAAGGTGCGAGTGCATGCAAGTCTCCACTCTTTTAAAAGACTTCCGAGTGCAAGACGTTCAGGATCAGTTTAAGTCGAGCATCCTGCATTAGATAGAAGCTGCTCAAAGAGAATGATCTCAGCAGCAGCACACATCGAAACTGTCTTGGAGTCTAAGAGTCGGTTGAATCATTCTCTAAGACTCTTAGAGTCGGTCTTGATAGTTGCCCAAATCATTCCTTCCCAGAAGCATGCTGACATATGATTGCCCAAAGAAACCTCCCGACGAGAAACAAGTTAGTTTTTTCTTGCGACGGTCGAGCCTCACCCATGGTGAACGCATTCCTCGTCCGAGGCGCTTTTGGTCGTGGTGTTGCTCCTGAGAGTCTGGCACGAAGGCATGGATTATGGTTGGTCCTTCCCTTCAAGTTGAGGGCGATTAGAGTGTTGTGACCTATTCCAAGCAGGCTTGGAAAAGGCGCACAGAAACATGATTCCAGCATATACTTTGACCATTGCAAGGATCCGCCATAATTTCTGCCCTGCAAATTCGTACAGGAATTTGATCCTCTATTTCAAACTCTTGTTATGGATTCATGACAATATAAGAATAGATAGATAGATTGATCCCTGGCCCCTTGTACTCCTACGCAGACGCAAAAGAGGCACCCGCCGAGTAGACCAGCCAGATGATGTTCTGAGCAGACCCTGCCATCCCGCTGTCCTTATTGTATGACAACAATTGCTGGAGAATCCTATTCTAGGCTCGGGCAAGCGTGACACAGTGAATGGCACAGAAAGATCATTGAAGTTTGTTGCCAAATGTTCAAACTCTATAGGATGAACGCGCACACACACACACACACATCCTGCTACACATATATTCACATGAGAGTTGATTTTCTGAGCCTTACAAATTAAGTAGGGTGCCCCCCCAACATAGAACTAAAGCATGGGAGTTCTTAGCATCAGGATGCCCAAGAGAGTTGTAAATCATCACCTTTGACGGGGACTCTCCCAACCCCCAAGCTTGTTATGGCCTCCAACCTAACAGCAATGGCCTCCAACCCAATAGCAATTGTTATATATGTTTTTTTTTTGTGTATATGTGTATCAGGTCGCTATGTAAATCTGTTCTCCACCAGCAGTCACCTGCAGTCGCACCAAGCCAAAGGATAAGGGGTTCAAAGTCTGTTGCGATCGTGGTCGAAGACGAGACAGTGTTCAGCATCCAGTGTCTTTGGGGTCATGATAGTGTGTCTTGTTTTTTTTTTGAAATCCAACTTGATGCAACAACCTTCTTCCAAGTCTTCTTTCACATCTGACTGCAGGCTTCATCACTACTCAGCTGCTCGGAGAGCGCCCGAGGAAGTTGAGCGACGTATCTTCTTTTTTGGAAGTTCAGCAAAGGGAGTGGGACCGATGGACGGCCTCTGGAGAACCGCGACTTGGGATGGAGTATATACATTATATGAGTCATTTCTTCCTGGAGACCTCGAAAGCCTCCAGATTCTTTCTTCCCCACCAACTCGACTTCATCTGACAGGTTTCCTCTTCAACTTCGAGAAGAACCACCCCAAACATCCCCAAAACCCACCAAACCTGTCCCCGCCAATGTCGGCCGCGGAGTTCACCCACCCAACCCCGGCAGGAGGACCGTGCGGTTTTCGGCCGAGGAGGACAGCAACGCAGAGGCTCCGTGCAGCGAAGACGAAGCTGCAACGATGTGTGGAGCTTTGGACCACTTGCCCGTTTGGGATCCAAGTACCTTCTCAGGTGTTTGGGGTGGGTACTTGGATCCTTAGGTTTGGTAAGATAGTTTAGGCAAATCACGCACTTAGATTTAGTGCCGGGGGGCCAGGTGCTTTCAAGAAAAGTGAACATGCCTTCCCAGGATTCTGCAGATTCCCATAATTCCCTGAGACCCTCTAAGCCTGTTTGTGTACCAAAAAGATGTCCTGTCCTAATCTGCGACGTGTTTCGTTGTTCTGTTCGGATCTCAACCTGATCACATCCCCCACCCGAAGAGCAGCATGACCTGTTGTGACCTGACGGCATGGAAGCTCGTGACCTTGCGAGCTGCTGATGGAAGCAGTGGCATGGAAGCTCGTGACCTACCATATAAGATAAAGTCTAGACCGTGGTTTTGGGGGGGTGACTGTGGGTGTGTTGTTTAGCGGTTGTTGCGCATGTTATATTCAAAAAGCTTATTACGACCATACAAAAAATAGCATCTTATTCAAAGTCTAAAACACACAGACACACACACACATCATGTGCATATTGTTTCATTAAGAGCAAGCATTTCCCTATTAATATTCCTTCTTGACTTTATGTGGGCTTTAGAGCTCAGGCTCACAGATAGGCTCCATATTAAGCACCAAGGAGCATTTCATTGGATTTTATGACAAGTAGCCCCAATCAGGGGTTCTTCCCGCGGGGTCACTCCATCTTCACTATTGCACCCTTTGCAGGCCTAGCTCGGCTTTTTCGTTGCACGAAGTCGACTGAACAATAAGATCAATAAGGTGAGATCTTCATCTCGCCCAGTGACCACTTTCATTTGCCACCACTCTGACTGTCCCTGACTGTCCCTGACCATCGAAAAAAGTGTAAGATCCTGTGCCCTGACTGGACTTGAGATTGTTTAGGGGGGCCTCCTTCATGTCCTTGCCCGTGGGAGGCCAAAGCAGCCGAAGTGTCACCCTCAGGTGCTGACATAGAAGCAGCGTTTACATGCTAAGCCTGATCCAAGAAGATATGGTGATAGACATGGAGGCAGGACAGGAAGACCTGCCGTTTGATTGTTACACCAAGTGATTTCCACTACGATTTCCAGCAACACCCTAGGAGCATGGCTGCAGCTAGAAAACACGTTGAAAGGGGCTGGCTACATATGTTCTCACCAGACATGGGACTCATATGTACTTCTTGATTTCCGAGCAGCCTGCTACTAAAGCTCTTGTATGTTCCCGCAGCTTGGTTCCAGTTATTTGGGGATTTGCTGCTTGGTTCCAGCTACTCGAGGGTGACTGATTAAGCACAACCAACTACGCAGTCGCTTGGATGTAATTCCTATAATACATTAGCTCTGTGCCCCCAGTAGCGATGCCCTTTGTTCCTAGTAGCTTCTTGTTACTAGTAGTAATGCCAGGAGCTACTAATGGCGTCCTTGCCCCTAGTATCTTCTTCCTTAGCATTGCATGCTGATGCATGCTTTAAGAAATGCCTGAAGCTGTGTGTGTGTGTGTGTTTGGACCTCATGTGTTTTCTCCCGAGCATCCAGTGCTGGCTCGAGGCAACAGCCTGGAGCATTTTTCGCCCGGTGGGGTCAGTCATCTCAGTCAGCGTTGAGGGTGCTACAAAATCTCACGAAAACAATCACCAGCAGTTCCACAGGAATGGCTTTTAGTCCCATCCAGGGAGTGAATGTGACAAGGGCACCCCTAGCCCCAGCAGGCAACGCTTTGGAACTCCTAGTGCTACCACATGACGCTCTTTTGTATGGCTTTCTTTTGCTCACTCCATCTTAGGAGACTGGTGGAAAGTTATCCGGTCCAAGTGGTGTCAAATCAGCTTCTCAAAGCTCGAGTCGACCTTCCGGATGACCTCCTAGTTCGAAGGGTTCTGGAAAACTGCTTTGCAGATTGAATCAACTAGCTCAGTCTTTTCATCCCAAGGTGGGACTAGGAAAACTGCCGACCAGCTGATTTGTTGAATCCGCTCCTCCTGTTCCTCCTCCTTTCAAGCAACTCAAACGAATCCGTTTTGCAGAAGCCACACTTCCACATCGGCCATTGCTTCATGGCCTCATCCAGTGACGCATGGACGGAGACGGAGCAGCAGCGGCTGGAAGAAGGACTGCATTCCGGTCGGCCAGGCCAGTGGAGTTTCGCTTATCCAACGGTCCATCCTTTTTGGTTCCGAGGATTTAGCCCCAATCCAGACTCTTCAGACACACCTTAGCCTTTAATCAGATGACCGATCCCGAAAGCGGACTCGCCTTCTCAGGATGCTGATGTGGATCATAGGAATCACAAGTTTAACGGTCTAATTGATCTATTTTAACACAATTATGTGCAATCACTCTAGTCTACCCTGTCTACTCCACTTTGCCCTTGCAAACATGTGCACAACACATCACGAGCAGCTGTCAGCTACTCGTACGTACAAACAGCTCAGAAACGCATGGAACACTCGCTCGGTGTTTTCTGCATTTGTCATCATGGACGCCCCGGATTCCGAGTGTGTCTTTCGATTCTGTGAGACCTGCACTGTCAGACCACCGAACCACCACCTCCACCACGTCCACCACCGAACCTGTCGAACTCCCCAAAGCCTCGGGAATTTGCCCACTCCTCCAAGCAGGACTGGTGAAGTTCGCAGCGCTCTGCGACGTGAAGGAGAAATGGAAAGCCATCGCCCAGCACGTCGGCACGCGCGACGTGCGGGCGTGCGCCGAACGCTTCAAAGCCGCCCGGAGATGAATGAGTGAAGCGGGTGAACAGAAGGGGATGGGGGCAAAACAGCTAAATTTATATCCGACCATTGATGATTGGAACATTTGGCGGCTGGATGGCTAAGGCTTAGATTCCTGATGTCGAATAAACTTTGGATGACATGTGGGTTATGTATGCGGTCAATGAGCAAAATCCCACAAGACATGTATTTAGTTGAGGCACACGAAGTTGACCGCCATGTGTTTGTGTGAGATGAACTGCATCAAGGAGCTTGGTTTGCGTTTCTCCCATGTGTCACCACACGCCGACGATGGCAACATACCGTGATGAGGTATGTCGCCAGCGTGCTTTGGAGCAACAAAGAGCGCAGGAGAAGGAGGAGGAAGAAGAGGAAGAAGAGGAAGAAGAGGAAGAGGATGACGAAGAGGAAGAAGAACAGGACAGTCGACATACATACGACACGTGACACAAGTCCACCTGACTGATGTGAAGATGAAACGAGCCCGTCAATTTGCTTCATGAACCCAGAAGTCTCAGGGGCAGTGAGCAGCCAAATTTAGATGACCATCAACAAATTATCCCGGCAAGAGACCCCGAACAGACTGTTTTAGGTCTAGAGGTGTAGCTGCAGAAAGTCTATAGAGATCTAGACGAATTGGTGTCCAGAGAGGTGATGGTGGTGATGAAGGTGGAGATCGTGGTGGTGGTGTTGTTGGTGGTGGTGGTGATGGTGGTGGCGATGAAGGTGATGGTGGTGGTAGCGATGGTAGTCATGGTGGTGATGGTCGTGATGATGGTGGTGGTGGCGATGATGGTGGTGATGGTTGTGATGGTGGTGGTGATGGTGGCGGTGGTGATCGTGGTGGTGGTGATGGTGGTGGTGATGGTGGTGCTGATGGTCCAGATGGTGATGGTAGTGATGGTGGTGACGATGGTGATTAGTGGTGATTGGTGATGAGGGTGGTGGGTGGTGATGGTGGTGGATTGGGGTTCTCAAGCTGGGTGGGCTTGGAACTGAAGGTCTAGGTCCAGGTCCAGAGTTCTAGAGATCTTCTGCGCCATGCCACGAAGTCACTTAGAAATCCACAAAGTAGTGCGCCTGTCACAAAATCTGCCTTTCAAGGTCCACAAAGTACTGCGGCTGCACTTCAAGCTCCGCAAAGTGCTGCACCTGCCACGAAATCTACCCTTCAAGGTTCACAACCTGCCACGAAATCCACACGTCAAGGTCCACAAAGTGCTGCGCCTGCAATGAAATCTGCACTCCAAAGTTCACAAAGTGGTGCGCTTGCCACAAATCTGCACTTCAAGCTCACAAAGCATCGCGCCACAATAGCGCACCTCCGTCAAGCACCGTCCCGCGGCCAGCGTTTCGCGCGACCCTGCGCAGAGAAATTGCATTTTCTGCGAGCCTGTGCCGCCAAAGCATGCCAAAATGCATGGGAACGGAAAGCGTACCCTGATCGAACCCGGGCTTTTACACCTTCTGTAAGATCTGTAAGATCCCCTCAGTGTGGACACGCTGTTTGGGGAAAAACGGCTCTCGGCCAGTGTTTGCAGGTTTAGAACATTTTTGTTCAGAGGGCGTGGCTTTGTAGGGTTTGATGGTCATAATCATGCTTTTGCAACCAGATGAATCAGGACTTTTCAGGGTGCCATATTTTGTTCAATGCCTAAGTTGTCAGGACAACTTCTTCACTTGCCATGAGCAAATGTGAGCAAACAAGTGCAGTGATTGGTGATGGCAGGAGCCGAGACATGATTGGAGACAAGATGATTGGAAGCAGTGGAGAGGTGATTGGTGGAGTGATTGGAAGTGGCATGAGAGCTCTGATCGGTGGAAAGAAGAGACGCCGGAAGACGACGCAGAGCGACGAAAGTGGGAAGTGCAGCAGGAAATTGAGGCGTTCAGCGTTGCATTTTGCAGTTTTTGTTTGCAACACCTTGCACGACAACAAAGGCTATATTTACGAGTCGTTGTTTTGTTCGGGGGGGGCGAAGGCGCAGGATTTGTTCCACCAACAGAAACAGTTTGCCACACCTTGAGTTCAGTGGGAACTTCACTTTTTTTTCAACCAGTTTTTTCTCGACATGTCCAAAACTTATATAGCATTTTCGAGACATGTGCCGGGTTGCCCAGGCAAACCGCCGGAAACTGCAGCACAAGGAGGTGCAGAAGCAACGGGAAGAGGAGTTGCGAGAAGCCAAATTGCGCGCGGAGAGAGAGCAGAAGGAGAAGGAACGTCAGGAGCCGCGACAGCAGAGCGCTTTAAACATACTATGATGATATACTAGGTTTTTATACAGGCAAATGAGAGGAATTTTACGTGATGTTGAATCTTGAAATGATATGAATGTCAGATGTTCTCAAACATTTTATGGTAAAAAGGGGCAACCCCAACAATGACTTGAATATGGAGGCATCATTTTGCAATCATCAGTATCAAACTTAGATGCCATCCTGGCCGGGTCACGTCAAGGTGTTTGGTGATTGCAATTTTTCAGTCGCACCCAAATATGAAACAGCGTTCCATTGTCAGGTAATAGACAATGTATGGAATCATTAACCTCCCCATGTTGATTGTAAACCGTTTCATATGGGGGTTTGGTTTTGCTAACCATATGGGATGCCATTGGTGGTCCTTGCAGCTCCACCACAGAGGAACTTCTGTCACCGAGACCTAGCTCTGAAGTGAAGAATGACCCCTAACCCAAACACTTACATGTCATTACAAGTTATTACACACTTTTGCAAACAAATTCCCAGATCCTTATGGCTCTAAATGCTACAAAGCGGTGTCAATGAACTTTTATCGGGACTTTTCCAGGCGACAGGGTCTCACCCTCTCACCCTGGTCTCACGACAAGTGCACAGATTGCCCAAAAGTCGTCCCGCAGTGTTTGGGTCTAAGGAGCAGCAAGCTGCTCGTGAGCAGAAGATCTTGGACGCCAAGGAGCGCGAAGCTCAAAGGCGACAGGAGGAGGAACGGCTCAAGCGGTTCATGCAGCAGAAGCGTGAGGAAGAAGATGCTCAGGTGACCGGTCGAACTTTCTGTGACGACTCAGACCGGTCGTGCTTCGTTTGTTCGTCTATGTGGGTGATATCTGTGGCCTACTCCTACATTCAAAAGGCAAAGATTAAGACGCACATAGACGCACCCAAGCAACGATAGGCAACCCCTGAGAGATGATTATACAACCCCTTTGCAACAAGAAAAGCTACTAGGCTAGTTGTTTCATGTACAAATACAATATAAACAATACAGTCAGTGTTTGCTTGCTTTTGATCCACATTGATTCCCAGCAGTTCTTCCGTTGTTTTCCAACAACAATTGTATGATACGGTATGTGTTGTTTTGCTTTGATTTTTGCTTCTCACAATGAGCGAAGGGAATCTCCCAATCCCAACAACACATTTGGGCTGCGCAAGATCTGGAAAAATGTAACCTTCGCACTGAGAAAAGCAAAGACAATTACAAGGTACTGGGTTACCTTCAAGTCATGAAGATGGATGAATGGATGGACGGAGGGATGGAGGGATTGATGGCTCATGCTCCTGCGTGGAAGCAGAAAAGGCAAGAGTTTCCACGATTAAGTAGTCCTTCTGAAGTATTCTAGGGAGTGGCAGGTTGCCAGGTGTTAGGCAAAATTCTGACCCTTGGAAGAGATATTTCAGCAGACTTACTACACATTTGGGACATACCAATGGAAGTGGTGTTTGTAGTAATTCAGCAATTCACAAATTGGTGTTTGTTTGTGGTTGGTTGACGGCATTGTGAATTTGCAACTCCTTGCTTTCAACCCTAAAGAGGCCGGCTTCTATGGCACAAGGCACTTGAACATGAAGGGTGCCAGGGGCTTCAAAGGCGGCAAAGCTGGAAAGGGCAACTAGGCTGCCGAAGTGATATTCTGGTGAACACCAGCATCCTTGTGAGGGTGGTAAAATACCCCAATCACCATGAAGCTGTCAATAGATGTGGATAATATGCAACCCTTGACTTGAAAAGTCCTGGCACTGGGCTGGCACCCAATTTGTTTGGCGTTTCCCTCATGCGTCCAGAGAAAACGACCCTTGTGCATCTCTTGAGGCGTTAAGAAGGGTGACATCCAGCGTCAGCTGCGGGAGCAGGAGATGGAACGCCGGGCCCGAGAGGTCTTGGCGAACATTGGTTCCACAAGGAGCGCCGAGATCGGAGATCGGAACTCCAGCGACGTTGAGCGAGGCGTCGCAGGTTCGACGAGCAAAGGTGATGCTCGGAACGGTGGCGGCGATCGCGTGGAAGAGAGTGCAGCGCAGCCGCTCTCGAGTGGTAGAGAGACTGCGAGTGACATGAAGGATGGCCCGGTGACCTTAGGTGGGAAGAACAAAGATGGCAAAGGAAAGACTGTCAAGAAAGGCGGCAAAAAGGAGAGAAAGACGGATGAAGCCAGGACGAGTGAGAAGGATCGATGGTGGACTAAGATCGATGGTGATTGCCCCATCTCATTGATCCCGATTGCTGAGCTTCCAGTGCCACCCTTCACCTTGAAAGCCTCTGGCAGCTCTGTGCCTCACTACTTTGATGCCCGCTTCCTGGCCAGCTTTCTCTTGAGCTCCTTTGACTTCATGAATCCAGTCAATCGATCTCCCTTGAATCGCGAGGATTGTGTCGCCTTGGACGTCCATTTGAGGCAGTTCTATCCCGACTCCTCATCCTCCGTGACCGACGCTTATGACCTCTTTCAGCGCAATGGAGGCAATGGTAGTGATGCGGTGCGACGCGAGGCCAGGGAAAAGCCATCAAAAGCACTAAGAGGTTCATACTATTTATATACCCTCCCTGCAACAAACATGGAAGTGAATGGCATGGCTCTTGGTTCAGACTGTTTTTCTCTACAAACCGGTGGTGCCATCCACTTCCATGAGTGTTTCAGGGAGTGTATACCTAGAACCTGATGAACATATGGTCTTTATCAACATAGAGGTCAAATGAGTTCTAGGTATGGCACTGGGGGACCCCAGTTGATCACCAAACAGCAGGTCAAACTAACTAGCCAGGTCAAGCTAAGCGGGTTAAGACAGCTCGCACGAGGTGCCATAACCCACAGCCATATGGGTTTGTAATGGTTTGACAGGGAACCCCCTTCTTCCAGGGGGGTCAAATGAGGGTCTCCCTCTTCCACACCCATAAGATATGATGTCACATGCCTCAATCAACGACTTCTACTCGACTCTCGCAGACTCGAGGCCACGGCGGTCTTCCAGCACCTCTTTCGCTTCCAACCCCGGAACTTGGACTCTCGTGGTCGAGCCATCAACTACAACGATGGAGCCTTGACAGCCACTTGGCAGGATCGTGGTCCGCACGAAGGGGCCGAGCTCTCGGTCCTTCCGTGCTTGTGTCGAATCCACCATGTGCCTGCCGTGTCTGTGTGTTTTGTGGTTATAAGATGTATTAGAATTAGAGTGTATGACAACCAGAAGACCATATTCAATATTCAGAGTGCATGGAGATGGATGAGTCCAGCTGAAAGCACAAGGGACCCTTTTGGAACCTTTGATGGGCTTCTCCACTATTCACTAGTTGCAAGAAAGGACTGACAAGGCCAGGATTCCTGCAGCTACTCTCTATAGAAAAGTGCAAGAACGTCACCAAACATGGACCCATCTCATCAATGTTCGCGTAAATCATATTTTGTGAACATGGACTGCTCTTCCCACCCATTGGATGCTCTTCCCTCAAGTCAGAGATCAAACTTGACATTTTTGTTGACTCGCTGGCATCGACCCAAAACAAAAAGAATGGACTTGCAGGAACGAATATATACTTCAAATCATTGCACACAATCTTGGGTAGTGGGCCGTTTTGTGGTGTGTTTCTTTCCAACAAAAAAACCTTGGTCGACCTAGTCTTTTTGTCCTTAGCACTCGTGCTTGGTCACACGAGGTCATCGATGATGACGATATCCGTGTGAGCGCTGCTCAACATACAGTGGCTTCCACTGCCGAAGCACTGGGCAGAGGAGAGTGGGCCGGGTGTGGTGAGGTTTATGGCGGTGGTCTTATTGAGTCAGACCGAACGATATTGGTTCCTATTTGATGCATTTCCCCGTTGGCCTATTTGGGGCATGTGATTGTTAGTGTAACTCCTGCATCCAATGAACCAAGAGTTGCTGTTCAAGTGCCCAGTGTTGGAGCCATGGATGAATCAGGCAGAGCTTTCCATTGATTCCATTGATTTTGAGCAGGAGTGACTCTTGGATGAGCAGTGATGACCAGCTGGGCAGTTCTTTTCATGTAAAAACTCACGTTTGCTACCGAGGGGGCCTGACAGGGGCCAGAATTGAAGAGCGCACACAAAGTTTCAGGAGCAAAATGGAGCATTTTTTTTTACATTTTCCGGAGGCTTTGTTTGATCTGTCATTCCTTCAGGAGGATCTGATGCAGTGTCCGTGCCGGGGCCTGGTCCACACCGCTTCTAGTCTGCAGGAGTAACTCTTGGAGAGCGGCGGAGAATGGGCAGAGTGGCTTTGCTGTCATTTTCTGGCCGATTGCGGTTGTTGACACCTGGATTTTGTTTGAAGTGCTAGACTCCAGAGGTGTTTGTTCTACCGTTCTACCACTCACTGAATCAAGTCGAGGGTACATCAGGATGTATCAACGTGAAGCATGACAACGAAATAGAGTAGACCAACAGCATGTGGCCCTGGATGATCTGATGGTTTGTGTAGTCTCGTGAAGAACACATGTGGATTCACCGGTTGGGAGCTATTCATCGGTGGGACCAGGTGTTCCGACCCTTCCGACCCTGCACCTTTTCGGAGGTGAACTACTTCCAGGGAAGGGTCTGACGAAGACAAGCCTGGTCGATGGGTCATCCGTTCGATCAACCATGAAAGCTTACAGCTTCACCCAGGTGTGGCATCTGCTCCGCTGTCGGGTGCTTGGCCTGAAGCAAAAGCTGCAGCAAATCGTCCAGTCGTGGAGGAGTTCCCAGCCCTGCCAGGCTGGGCCGAACTTCGATGACTTGCCTTTTTTAGTACCGACTTCATATATTTCAGCATATTTCAACATCTCAAGATCATCCCAAAGTGTCCCAACCCACATTGCAGTTACAGGTCCCAAAGTTCATCAAAAACATGTTCATGTGACCCACATCTGCGAACATCTGCGAACATCCGTTCGATGCTTCACCTGATGCCTTCTCTGGCAGCTTGCCGTGTGCCCAGGTGCCAAGCCCAAAGCCAAGGCGCCCAAGGCGAAGGCCAAGGCTGCGAAGGCCAAGGCTGCGCCGGTCGGCCGAAGCTTGGTCACACCGAAGACTTGGGCGAAGCCGCCCTGATTGTGGAGTGCAAAAAGCCACCCTGACCGTGGGTGGGGCAGGGGGAAGAAGAGGAGTGGAAGAAGCAAGGGGTAGAGGAAGTGCGAAGGGTGGGGAATCCAGGTTTGGGGGTTGAGTATGGGCGATAGATGGGATAGTAAGCAAGATAAGAACAGGAGTTCTGATTCTGGATCCTGTCAATGATGAATACACCACCATGACACCCTGATGAGTCTCCAGCTGGGACGTTCCAAAGCACATTGTTTGCCATGAACCGTCCATTTTTGTAGGTCGAACAATGGTTATTTTGTCCCAACAAATCCGTTGGGTTTCTGGTGGAGACACAGGCTGCGGCTGAGACCAATCATTTTTTTTCCCGTGCTGGATACATCATCGCGATCAAATCCACGGGGGGGCATCCGCTGGGGCGATGCCGCAGGCGGCCCTGTTCTCAGTGAAGATGAGGTGAAAATCCTCCTCGAGGCTTGGGAGAGCGTGACCACCAGTGGCAGACCTTGGGTTTCTTGAGGGAGCAAGGGATGAAAATAAGGGGCGTGTTTGCTTTCCGCAATCGGAGGAGATAGAAAGAATTAGAAGGACACTGAAAATTATGCAAAACAAGACCTGCAAAGGACCTTTCTTGGAATCCACTGGAGGTCATCAACTCACATCAGCAATCGTTCTAAACGCTCCAATCAAGAATTCTTGACCCAACACCCAACTCTTGTTTGTTCATTCAAGTCCTTCGTCACCTCTACTCCAGGCTATACACCAAGGGTGCTCCTTCAAAAACAGCTACTGTAGAAGAAACGAGCGGAGGTCCTCCATTCTTCAACAACAGCACTTGTTGGCGGGGGATTGGTGCCCCACCAAGGCCTTCGGCCGGCAGTGGAATTGATGCGTTCCAACGCACAGGTGGTAGCCAAGAGAAATTGCAGAGTAGCTGTTCCAGGTGGACCACCACTCGTGACGCCAAACGCCACACATGCAAACCGACAGCACTCACACAGATCAGCACGATCCACATCCCACATCACCCCACCGTGTTTCAGACCCTAAACCCCCTAGCATGGAGGCAAACGCTACCAGGATGGACCTACCCTTTGGACGCCTCCATTGCCAGGGTGCTGCGCGGGGCGACGCGGAGTCGCAGACCATCATCGGGCGCATGTGCCTCGAAGGTGAGGGCGGCGACGTTTGCACCGGCGTGAGTTGTGTGTTTTTTGTGTCTTATACAGATACTAACATGATACTAACACGACTTGCGGTCCCTGTCCGTGACGGCCTTTCATAGGCAGAGAAGTCGGAGGGGAATCAGGTATTCCCAATGATACGTACATATAAAGCTTCGCATGACTTCCAGTGTGGAGATTCTTCTTTGTTTGAAAGACCGAGAGATACGCATCATGTCCTTTTTGAACCTGGCTTTTCTTGTTTGCGTCCACAGATTCTTCAGAATCGGCAGGCGGTCAGCTAGGAGCAGACATTATCATGTCCCAAACACGTATATACGACGTGTGTTTCACCATGCGTCCCTTGTGTAAGACGTGTTGCTTAGTCATCGATTGCAGCGACTCTGGACATTCTTTGCTCAGCTGATTCAGATCAACAGTGCCTTGAAGTTTAACAGCAGGTGCTGTGCAAAGTGCACCATGGAGCCTAGCCCGGAGGTGAAGGTTCAAGCCACTTTGAGCAAAGGCAAAGGATCTTTCCATGTTGGAGAGACAGCAGGAACACATGCAGATGCTGAGCATGTGCAGACTGCCGAGGATGCAGTGGATGTGGCGGAAAAGATCATCAACCAGAAGCATCATGATGGGATTATGTTTCGAAACCAAACCTCAGGCAGACTGGGTCAATGTTTGAAGTCCCCTCGCTTTGAATCCATTTTGTCCATTGTGATTTGCTTGAACATGATCCTGATTGTGGCGGAGACGGACCTCACGGCTGATGGACAATCACCTCCAACATGGATCACTGGGTCCAATTTGACCTTCCTTTTCATCTATGTGGTGGAGTGCATTGTGAAGATCATTGTTTTCCGCTTGGAATACTTTCAGGACCGAGACAGCTGAAAACCGACACAGGTGGTATTTATTAGCCAAGCCAAGAGAGTCATCACCCATCAGCCAAGAGAGTCACCACGGCCCTTAAGCCCATTTGATGCCCTTCCTTTTGCATCTCCACCTTTTTCATTCCCGTTCGATGCCCTTCGCATTTTCCCGTGAAACGCCCTGCGTGAAACGCCCGTTTCGCGACGTGGAGGATACATGGAACTGGCTGGACTTGCTGGTGGTGTGTTCTGATTCCTGCTTGACATTCCTAAACTTCTTCGACAGTGTGGAGCGAATCTCCATGATCAGGACGCTTGGTCCGGTGCCCGGACATGCCTGGACCGTTTCAGCTCACATATGCTCACATCATCATGCAGTTACAGTATGTTATAGTTGTAATAAGTTCTTGTTCATAGGCTAGACGGTGGCAGGAAGGGAAAAAGATGAGTCGGCTCTATGCCCTATGCTTTGAAGTCGACTCTTTGAGCGAGATCTTGAGAAGTAGACATGATCTTGATGAGCAGTATGTTTGAAATTTATTGTTGAGTAAAGCTCAGTTGCTGCGCCTAGGCAAGGGTTGTAGAACTTGATGTCAGGACATTACACCGATGTCTCTACTCCTGACAGAGGGCTTTCCTCGAAAGTCGCAGATGTATGAATGATTCAATGATGTAGGCATGGGGAAAGCTGATTGTTGAGCGTCCAACCAAGAGGGCATCAACTATAGAGAGTTGGGTATCCACAAACCATCACAAACCCAACTCAGCAACATTTGAAGGTACAAGCTGTAAGAGACCCTCCCAGTCGAGTGTCTCAGTATAAGGTACGTGCGCACGACGCATCTTCGCTCGAGCACGGAGCGTGTTGCGCGTGAGGATTTTCCGATTGATCAAGCTCTCACGCGCCATCCGCGTGATTCGACAGATCTGGGAACTGAAGATTTTACTCCTGGGATTCAAAGCAGCTGCCAAGTCCATCTTCTTCGGCATGGGAATGGTCTTGGCCCTTTGGCTGGAGATTTGAGAAACTGAATGAGTTTCTCTAAATATGGGCTATGGTGGGCTTGAGCTTCAAAGAAACGGAAGGTTTCACCCCAGAAGATGGGACGGATGGACACGTGAGAGGCCTTTTTTGACACGCGTGTGGGGGAGTCATGTGCTCATGTATGTCGTCTTAGGATGTCTTAGGAATCTTATCACTTATTGGCTCTTACATTCCCACATACATTTCAGATCATTTCAGGGTTGGTGAAAGCAGAACCCATTGTATATCAATTTATGCCAATTTAACCCAAATTATACATATACAGATATATATATATATAAAACTTTATGATTTTGCAGTGGTCAGTAGCCCATTTCCTTCAACCTCACGGTGATCTTTGGGTGTGACAGGGGGGCTACTGGTCCGTCCGTCAGTCCATCAGTCTGTGTGTAAATAACTAGTTTTCACGTGCAACATGTCTTGAATACAAAAATCACGACGCGGCCCAAGAAAAAAAAACATATCTTTGTTGAGTACCCCTGGACCAGACCAGCATACTTTATCAGACCCTTTGTGATTTGTTTCTTAGGAACCCTGGCTCCTCCACTACCATGCTGCACTTCAGAACTTTTTGGCCCAGGCATCAAACAGTTGGTTTATGCCAACAAACCTGAAAGCACCAAAAATGCCTAGGCAAAACCTACGCACACGCGACGCCAACCACGCAAAGCTATACTCAAAGCTAGTTGTTTAACAGAATATCCCGGCAAGAGACCCCAAACAGTGTGTTTGATGTGTAGAGGTGTAGCAGCAGAAAGTCTAGAGATCTAGACGCATTGGGGTCCAGAGAGGTGATGGACGGCGAGTGTGTCGGCAGATAGGCTTTGAACCTCAAATCCGACCGGCGCGTGAGGCTCGCGGGGCGGCCCGAACAACCAAATCTGAGCACTAGCCCGCATGCGACTGCTCAATACCTGACAGAGCCACCTGCAGCAGGAGCTAAAGTGTGTTCTTGATGTCGCCCAAAGGCAACTGGGTGGTTGAGTTGCTGCTGGCCTTTGGCAGCCTGCCAGCCGCAGGTGTGTGCTAACCATTGCAGTCAAAAGGGTCCTGACTTCGTTGGGGCTTGGAGCCTTTGGTAGAAGAGCTCATATACTGTACCTAGTGGTAGAGGTTGCTCCCAAAGGTCTTGCCATAGTGCAGCCTCGGAGGCAGATCTGCAACTCTTGGAGTGTCCAAACCTTGCTCTGACTGGCCGCGCATGCATTTTGCAGTTCGGTGTGTGCTTACTTCACGGGCGTTGACTTGGCGTAGGCATAGCTTGTGACATGCAGCCCGCGTAAGCTGTAGCTGTGGTGACATAGGCATTGCATAGCCAATGGTGCAGGCCAAAAAAAGTTATAAGAGCCCACAAACACACACATACACTGCTCAGGTGATGACATGTGTTTGGGCCATCTTGGGAGTACAACTCATCCACCCTGTGAACAGCGAGATTTGGGTCGACAGTGATTGCGATCGATGCGGTCGAGCTTTTGGTTCGACTTGGAATGCCTTCATTACTATTTTCCAGACAGTCATTGCCGGAGATAGCTGGGGAGTACTAGCTGTTCCAATCATTGAGCATTCTTGGTGGACTTCCACGTGGTTCTTAAATGTTCTTAATTGTCTTCGTGACGGTCAACCTGGCATCCTCGCACCTGGGCCGGTGGACACAAAGGGACAACAACAAAGGTTCGACTGAAACGCTAAGGTTCGACTCTCCGCGGACCCACAAGGGAATCGTTTTCATTCTTCTCGTCTACTTCCTCCGCTTGAGGAAGGGGACTGTGCCAGGGGCCAGGGGGCACACTTGTGTTAAAGACCTCATCGGAAAACGCTGTGATTTTTGTTCGTTCGTTTTGTCATGTTGTCACTCGTATTGTTGACGACTCTGCACGTGTTGCTGTGATGATTGTTGTAGTGGCAGTTTTGCGGTGGCAGACAGTGTTTCTGTACAAGGTCACTTAGTACTCCAAAGAGGTCACGTACATTTGATTCACGTACTGAAGGTCCTGGTGATGTCCGTTGAAACCCTGTGGGCCTGTGGGCAGGATATGGGTCATTGAGAAGTCACTTGCCAAGGGGGTGTTACCTGGGGAGGTCCCAGCAAACAAAGACATTTGTGAACAGATCAAAGTTTCTCTCGGACTCCAGCTCTTGTGCCTGACATGGCGAGGGAAGGAGCTTTGGATTCGTTTCGACCGAGGCTGTGATTGTTGAACGAGCTGCAGATGCACGAGATCAAGAAGTCAAGAGGGGCATCTTGGAGCAGGAGGAGACCTGGGGATTTTTCCCAACTCCTGGGGAATGACTGTAGTGCTCAGCAGGCACGTTTTGTGCTCACGGGGGAGCAAAAAGAGACCAGGCGAGTGAGGGAGGATTCTATGATATTCATTGATAGAGTTCTGCACAGGGTCGTAGCTGGTTGTAGTTGGTCGTGGGGGATGCAAACTACACCTCCACTGCCAATAAAGTAATCAAGGTCGATTTGCACATGTCGTACCTTGAAGTTGCATGATGTTGAACGAAAGGAGACCATGCACAAGTCCAAGTTGAAACTCATTCAGCTTTGCCGGGACCTCGACACGGATCAAAATGGTCGCCTGAGCGAAGATGAGTTCTTGGATGGTTTCGAATCCAATCCAGCCTTTGCCTCTGCCTTGTTGGGCATGGGTGTTTATCCGGAAGACATTGGCCTTCTCTTTGACGTGCTGGATACGAGGGGCACCGGTGAAGTGACGTATGTGAGCTTCGTGAACATCCTGGCACGATTGAGAACCCAAATGAATCAAGTGATCCTTTTTTCCATTACAGAACCTTGGATCTATAATGTACGTAGCACTTGTTAATACTTGTTACTTTGCTTTGCAATCAACTTGGTGATACTGATCTACACTCCCTGAAAGAAACGTGGAGTTCACGGGCCTTCGAACCAGGGTCTTGAAACATCTCCATGATTTGCAGGGAGTGTATCCCTAAGGAATTGCGAAAGTCGGTCACCGAGCTCCAAAAGAGCACCTGTTCTCGCGACCGGGGCGCAACTCCGGGGCGCGGCTCCGCTCGGACGGAGCTCTCAAGCAGTGACGGTCAGCGCGTCGCTTGGAAAAGCTCGGTGCCGGCACCGAAGGCGATGGAGAAGGGCTTGGAGAACTTGATGAAGCTCCAGCTGGAGGAGATGACCGTGGACATGGAACATCGAATCTCACGAGATGCAGATAAAGACTTTGTATGACTTTGGCGGCCAGCATTGCCCCAAGCGGTCGACCGAGGGGAAGATGCACTCCTAAAAGCATACCAACAGCGGTTTCGGCCAAAAAAGAGGGGTTTGGTGTTGATTTGATGGTGGCTTTAAGAGGGTATGACAAATGCAGTACAGAACAACAACGAAACACACGTGCAAACCGCACACGGAGTGAGATTTAGTCCCCTGAAAGGTGGACTTGGGGACAGTAGCAGCTAGACCTTTTCGAGCAGCGAAAAGCTGTTTTTTTGGTGCCACCATCAAACCATCTCCCAAATACTCCATGGACAGAAGATATGCTCACATTGACCCCTCAAACCGCACCAATGTAGACATGACATCATGACATACCATACATGGAGTTTTTGGGTATCAACACCCAAACACATCACCATACGGATCCATATGACTGAGTGGTTTGATCGCTCGCCATGCTTCGCCGGTCGTACGTGTAGATCTCGGTGGTCGCCGTATCATTAAAAAAGCGTGAAGTGGGTGTTTGAGTGGTCAATGTGTATAGATGTTGGGTAGTTCTTGCAACGATGTGCAACGGTTTTTTCTCATCAGTTTTTGTTCAGGGCTCCGACCTTGTGATGCCCCTTGGCTGAGGATTCCAGCAGATGCATTCAGAGATCCTATTGAGTTTCTCCAGGGCGGTACAGGTGATGGTGGAATCTCAAAGAGAGCAGATGACTTCGCCGCACTGCGAGAACCTCCTGAGCTCTATGTGGAAAGAATTGGACTTCATGGCGAGTGACCTGGAATCCTCCATGAATGCCGAAAACGGCGCCGCCGTGTTCGACGGCGGCGCCAACATGAGGTCAACGGTTCAATCGAATCGGTTGATTCCGCAGGTGGAAGAAGCAACTCCAGACAATCCGGCACTTTGCTGCCAGGCGTCGCCAGAGAATGCTGGGCGGTCGCGGACATTTGAGCCTTCGGCGGATGAGCGGTGAGAGCTGCAACTCACTGTTCAGGATGGATGCCTATTTTGTTTGAGGATGGACGCCAATTTTGTATCAATCCGTCAGTGTAATGTATATACTGTATGAGGAATCTTCAGAGATGGAGACTCCATAGCTTTGCATGATTCTTTTGCTTCTCGAATGACTGGCGAAGGCCTTGCACTGTCATAACAATCTAAGTGTTCCGCAAGTGTTCAGTGGTGGACGCGGACGATGCGTGAACCTTCCGAAGCAATCCCAAGCAGACTTGCTGAACCCGTATACGAACCGTGTTCGACGCCGCTATTGCCCACCACAACGGTATTGCCATGTCTCACAGGCTTGCACAAATGTGCCAAGCTGCCTGGAAAAAGAAACCTCTCAAAGTGAGAACTGCTTTGTGAAAAACCAAAGGCGATGGTGATGCTGTTGAGTCCAAATGGGCCATGAGAGGGTCTGATCGATCTGATGTGGACACTTGCCAACCGGAATGTCTAACAGTCCAACACAGTCTAACTATACGTTCATATTCTTTGTTTGGAGGCTAACAGGGCCCGGGGTCTCGATTGCTTTACAACCTTCCACGTTTGGCCTGGACTTGGAGTCTTGACTTGGCACCTGTAGCCTCTGGCATGCCAAGTGGTTCGCCCATTCGGCACCTTCGTCGTTGGATGATCCACGGTCCGATGAGGTGATGTAGCTGAACCTGATCCGGCACAGGCACCGGTGATGTGGCTGTTGGCGCGATGTTTTTTTTTTCTTCTTTTTTTTCCGTTGAACTTCGCAACCCGACAGACTGCCCCTTCCGGAGCAGTTGTGAGGTGGACTTGCGTTCTTGCATCAGGCAACAACTTTGCGTGATTTTACGTATATTGAATAATGATGATAAATATGTTCATCGTTCTTCGATGCTTAATGCTTTGATGTTTACTTGAGATGGCTTACGATGGTTACACATCGTCACATGCTAATACTTCAGGTATTAGAGGATTGGACCATCTCTTCTGAACATGGAGGCTATATATTGATCTTAAACTAGCATAAATTACCATGGTACAGCACTCTCTCCAGATCATGACGTCCTGCTTTTTCTCGGCTCGCTGAGACCCAGCTGTGAAAAAACATGCATTAAACGAACCACCTTCCTTGGCACGCCACCGCCCCCCCCTCCCTCCGACCAAGCCGCGCGCTTCGCATCGTGTCGGCGCGACCGCTCGGCGGTCGCGACGTCGGTGCCGTCAGGCTGCGGAGTGGTTCCTGAAGGCAGCGGAGCAGGGGGACAAAGATGGGATCCTCCTGGCCTGTTTGGGCCGACCGACTGAGTGACTTCGTGGCTTCCGGAGAAACAGGTGGGTGGAAGGGTGGGTGGAAGGGTGGATTACGGTGGGTGGAAGGTGAGTCGGGGGTAAAAGCATGGGAGTTTTCAAGACCAGTTGTGGGGGCATCACCGATATATGTATCACCGATATGACAAGATATCACTCCAGGAATCTTGGGCCAATACCAAGGTTCCCTTTTGTTCATGTCCTGGACCTAGGTGGCCGGTTTCAACCATTTGGATTGTATAAAATCATTAAAATATGCCTGTTTCACGCCAAGTGAGACCTGAAAACCTCCTTCCGGTCCACCTTCCAGACTTTTTTTGGGGGTGACTCACTCGCCAGCCAGGCAATACAATCTTGGGATGTTGCTCATCTCTGGCAACGGAGCACCTCTGGTTCCGACTGGTCGGTGCACCCGAGGTTCGTTCGGTGCGGGCGAAAGGCCCCCTGCAGACATCTGCAGACATGGATTAGATGAGAAGCATTTTATATCTTGGACCATCCTGTTCTGGGTGGCCTGGCTCTGCTACCCTACACTATATCTTAGGTATCTCCTGACAGGACACCCAGACACGATGGTCCGGAAAGTAAGATATATATATATACCTGGAACCTGAGTGACCCCTGTTTTGGAGGATCAACCGATTCAAAATATGACCATTTCTTATCAAAACAGAGGTCAAATGGGTTCTAATATAATACTGTATGCATGTGTGTTCTGTTTTTTTCGTCGTCGACCATTCTTCAGTAGAATCCCACAGACCAACAGAGCGCGAAAGCAGCGAAGGGTGGGCTTTTTTTTCAAGTCACCATTTGGTGGTTAGATGTTTTGGGTCACATTATTGGTTTGATTGGGTTTGACTTCCATAGGGCCATAGGGCATAGTTACACGGGATTACTAGATATTACTAGGGCGCGCTGCAGCAATTGTGGCTGTGTCTAAACGGACCTGGTCTTCCCTTGTATGATGTGGCTGGATGATTGCGCAAGGCTTTACATTCTGGACCTCTTCCGGAACCTTGCGGGGCAACTGACTAAAGCATACTCACACGAAATGAACATTCTTCAGGATCAAGTTGCCAGTCTCCGCCAACCTCTCAGATGAGTCGCAGGTACCGCAAGACATGCAAGAAGGCTCCATGTGGCTCGAGAAGGTCCGGCACCCAGCTGTGCGACCCACCAGCTTGTAGCTTCACCGTCCAGCGGAAGTGGAACCTGTTTCTTTTCGGGCGACCCAATAAACAAGTCAGCAGCACATGTCATGAAATGAGGAAGATGAAGGCCCCCCAGCCAAAACACGCAAAGGATATATTTCATTGCTGCCATCGCAATCGAGTCGCTTTCCCTTGACCAAGGTTCTTTTGATGAGAGTCACCCCGGAGAAAGTGGAGAGAAGTTTCTCTGTGTGTGTAGAGAGAAAGAGAGAGGGGAACAAAAAAAAAACTAGAGATAGAGATAAGGTTACACGTGCCATGACATGCCCATCTACTCCGAAAAAGGGGGGGTCTCGCAAGATCGTTCATGTCAAACAGATGTGACTAGATTCTAGATGATTCTTGAAGGCTTTCAACTTTGATTTGGGCGTTGCCAGAGTACTTCCGGCATCCATTGAGGCTGCGGAGCAAGGCGTCCATTTGGCGCAGTACTTCTATGCTGCAACGCACGCAGTCGACACGTTTGACATGTCAAGAGACAAACAGTGTTTCGACTTGAGCGTGAGTTTTGGCATTCTCAGAAGTTCTTGTTGCTGTCTTGCTGTTGCTGTTGCTAATGCTTTTGCTGTTGTTGTGGTTGTTGTTGTTGTTGTTGGTGGTGGTGGTGGTAGAGACAAAAACAGCCGCCCAACATAGTTGTCACATGTTGCAGGGATTTCCAAGGGACACTGTTAGAGATAGGGTTGAAGGTTTGGAGAGATGCTACTTGTAGTAGCTGGACTTGTTGTCGTTGTGCCACTCAAGTCGTGGTTGGTCCGTTTCTGGCTTTTTGATGTTTTTGGGTGTTGTTCTGGGGGTGGTCAAAATACAACAACGGGGCTGCAGATTTTGTTTCTAGGGGGGCAGAGACAACATCTTGTGAGGGGGGTCCAAAAAGCAACAACGGGGCTGCAGCTTTTGTTTTTAGGATGTGGTAGAGGTTCTAAGTACGTTTACTAGACCACTAGCAGTAGTAGCAGTAGCAGTACCATCAGCAGGAGCAGCAGCAGGAGGAGGAGTAGTGGTAGTAAGTACAAGTAATTACAAGTGTAAGTTAAAATTTAAGTATAGGTATAAGTAGTAGTAGTAGCAGCAGTAGCAGTAGCAGTGGTAGGAGTGGGAGTAGTAGTAGTAGTAGTAGTAGTAGTAG